GTATTTATGTGGAACACAATTCTCGCCTGTCCGCAACGCCAGAAGAACACGATAGGTAAGCAATCTAGCTGTAACAAAGAACAATTTTTCCGATTCAATAAACGTTGTCCTTGAGTTGTCATGAAAGAAACAACACCGTTTCCATCCACTAATGCAGCAATAAAACGGGCATTTTTACTTCAAAAATACACTTAGTTGGATGGAAGCGTCTATTTTCAGGCAACATCTCAATAGCAAAGTGTAGTAATTTCCCCCTTTATCGTACCATATAAATAACACTTTTAGATGTTCATGGATTATTTATTTTAATTTCATAATTATTATCTTTAAATTCACTAATTTCGTGGTCCGCTTGACCAATTAAATCATTACAATTAATTAAGGTTTTTAGTTGAGATAAAAAAGTTAATGGCACGAGCGGGATTCGAACCCATCTTCGGCTGATACGCCGCTGCTCTACCACTTGAGTCATCATGACCTCGATCCACTCGGACATCAACTTCCTATCTCAACCCATAGGCGTATCTAGCCGAAGATCGTGGGTTCGAATCCCGCTCGTGCCATTAACTTTTTTCATCTCAACTAAAAACCTTAATTAATTGTAATTATCTTTAAAATTCAAGCGATTGTAAAACTTTGAAATTTAGATCGGATAATCCACTTATTACTGGCCACCAATTGACCTGTAATACTGCCTTTCTACTAGTAACTCTCTAATTAGCGAAACTCAGAAAAAATAGTAAGCATCATTTAAAACTAACTAACATTACAGGAAAAATGTTCAGTAATAAAAGTTATGGACACGATTTTTATTAAAACATTAAATATTATTGAACAGGAAAAATAAGCTTCATTATTTTTTTAATCTTTTTTCTCTAAACGAGATGATGGTTCAATAAAACGTCTCTTCGAAAAATACCTCACGACTTCCTTCAACAGAAAACGTGGGGAAAATAAAATAAAATTCATTCCAACTTCCCAAGAGTTCCGTGAATTGGAACAGATGATCATTAATTGCTCATATTTTTACAAATAAAAATTACTGAGGTTATAATTCGAAATACAGTGTTAATGAGAAATATACGAGGATGAGTTTCGACAAAAATTTGTAAACTTTCCAGGCTAACCTTAGGGGCCAAAATAATTTTCACAATTATATACTGTACTGTATAGTTAATATATGGGCCCCATTCTTGGGCTGTGCCAAAATAAATAAGGCTTTGAAAAGGCAGTCACAACTATTTTTAATTGTTATATAATAAAGAAAACTTATTCAACATATTTTTCATCACAATCCATACATCTGTGCCAACGTTTAGTAAGCAAGCGTTTTATTCCGCTGACATAAAAATCTTTATTTCGACTCACAATAAAGTCTTGGAAGACGTTTTCGGCTTCACCGCACTCTCTAACAATTTTATCCCTCAAAGTGAAGAAGTGATCAAAATGGCTTTTAAAAAAAGTGGAAGTATGTAGGCAAGAGGTCGGGTGAATATGGAGGGAACGGTAAGGTTTCCTATCCGGTAAGTTTCCGCAGGGTTGACATTACGACATGTAGCCAGGCGTTATTGTGAAGAAGAATCAGCCCCTTACGGTTTACCAAAGCAGGACAAAGAGTTGCAGTTTCGCGTGCGTTTGGTCAACTTCCTGACAATATTTTTTCTTCTGTGATAGTTTCACCACAATCCATGAAAATTAAAGCGAACCCAAGCAGTACTCAACTACACAGTCACCATTACCTTTTTGGGGTACAGATTTAGTTTCGGTAAGAGGTTTGGCGTTTCATCCTTGTCCAACCTTGACCTTTACTCCTTCTGCTATCGTACAGAATCTATTTCTTATCGCACGTCACGATTCAATCGAGAAATGGATCATTTTGGTGGCGCAATACAAGAGGCGTGCAAATTTCAAAGCATCGATTTCTTTGGGTTTCGTTAATTCGTGCGGAACCTACTTGTCGAGCATCTTAATTTACCCATATGCTCCAGATGACGAACAACGGTATAATCGTAAAGACTAAGCTCTTCCGCAATTTCCCGTGTTACGTGAATTCAATCAACGATTTGTGTTGGGCGTTGTCCACAACGGACGGAAAAAGTATTTAATATAATCCATAAATTAGATTTGAGGATTTAGCTTTATTTACATGACAAGCATCTGCGAAAATGAAACAAATTTTCAAAACCTGCATTAAACACTAACCCAGTGTCTGTACTTAAGTAACATAAAATCTTTGTTTATAGTATGAAATACTGTTATTTTTGACAACCAATAACCAACAGAATTATATATTTATTCCAAAACCAACTAAATATACAATTTTTAATTACCAATTTCCACCGTAGAAGAAAATTATTGCGCGTAAGGTGTCAATTAATACTAAACCCGCACGACCTGGTTGTCGTGCATGACTGTCTAACCTTGAATCAGACGCACACTGGTGGAGCCGAGAAATGTCAACACGTCCTTTTGAACTTGATGATAAAAAGACAATCAATCCTTACTATCTATCATTATAAATCCTAAATTACAATTGATAATAAAAACTCCTGATAAGATAGACCAAAATGAAAGTTAACCATTAATTTTCCAAGCAATTGTAGAATTATTTATAAAATATTTTATTAAAGCATTATGAAAGGAAATTATAAGATAAAATGCCGATGGTAATATTTGCTATGTTATTTTAGGCAGAAATCATAGCAATTGGGCTCTACGCAAGAGATAAAAAGGCTAGTAAATAAAGCAAAAAGATTGCAATCTATACTGATACTGCGCTCAAAGCACTGACCTCGCCTGAGGTAAGATCACGTACAGAATGAGACTGGGTAAGTGCACGGTAGAAAAAACTGGCCTTTTTCCTGGGTCAAATGGAACACAGGACGAAACACGTAGAGAGTGAATAGCTGGAAGGAGTTCTCAGTAGCACGAGTAGGATCAGAACCTTTCCGTAATATTTCAAACTCCCATAATCATGTTAAAAACTTATAAACCTGGTAGAACAACACGCGAGGAGTGCTAAGCAAAAGACAACGATAAAAAAAGTCGGAACAATACAGGGTGTCCAAGCTAATTCCTACCTAAGTTGGGTAAGATCAGGTATTGGCCGAGGAGAAAAATAGATACAAAATACGAAATATATGGGATTTGGCAGGAAATTTAATAAGCATTCAAACTTTTCTCTCTACTTTGTCTCATTTTCCACTCCTCTTCAAAATATTTGCAGTAGAAGGCAAAATAAAGTGGTTTCGACCAAACTCACTAGAACAGCATTCCGGTTATTTTCAAAAAATGCCATTTTTTCCTCTTTGCGGTTCTAGATAGGAAAAAATTATGAATTGAGATTCCCCCTTCATTTTTCATGTAGTTTGTTCATGTAGGTCGATTTATTTTTTCGACCTCGACCCGACATAAGTCAAATTCAAATCCGTAATTTTAAATGAGATCCCCATTTTTCACATTTTTATTTGAAATTAGATTTTGTGGCGAGAAAAATGAGCACTGAGTTATTAAAATCGGTCCAACAGAACCGAAGATATGATTTTTTGAAAATATCCGTAATGCGTTCTAGTGAGTTAGGTCGAAACCACTTTATTTTGCCTTCTACTGCAAATATTTTGAAGAGGAGTGGAAAATCAGAAAAAGTAGAGAGAAAAGTGTGAAAGCTTACTAACTTTCCTGCCAAATCCCATAAATTTCGTATTTTGTATCGTTTTTCCCCCTGGCCAATACCTGAAACCACGTTACTATTGCCTTCTACTGCAAATATTTTACATATTTTATATTAGTATTTACGGTGAGGATTTGAAACCCATCACTAGTCGTGAGGGACTGGCAACAAATGAGGGTTGTCATTCTCAACATATTTTAACGGGGTGGATATTTCGAACAGTTGTTGTAATATTTTCATGAGGTTTTTCTTCCTTTTTATAAGAAATTTAAGTTTTAGTTTTAAGAAATTGAAATTTCAGTGTTTAAAAAATTTTTAACCAAGATAAGAAAAGACTTGTCACAACAAGAGTCGGGAAACGAAAAATAAACAGCGTTAGTTCCTTCATTCCTTTGACTTGCTATTTAACCGTTTTTTTCCCAGATAGCAATAGTTATGATTAGGTGATAGTAAGGCAGCCAAGATATTTCGGTGAATGAGTTGGGTAAGATCAGGTATTGGCCGAGGAGAAAAAACGATACAAAATACGAAATTTATGGAATTTGGCAGGAAATTTAATAAGCTTTCAAACTTTTCTCTCTACTTTGTCTGATTTTCCACTCCTCTTCAAAATATTTGCAGTAGAAGGCAAAATAAAGTGGTTTCGAGTTAACTCACTAGAACAGCATTCCGGCTATTTTCAAAAAATCAATCTCCGGTTCTATTGGACCAATTTTAATAACTCGGTGCTCATTTTTCTTGCCAGCAAATCTAGTTTAAAAAAAAACGAAAAATGGGATTCTCATTTAAAATTAAGAATTTGAATTCGACTTATGTCGAAGTGGAAAAAAATAAATCGACCTTACATGAACAAACTACATGAAAAATGAAGGGAGTCTCAATTCATACTTTTTTCCTATCTAGAACTGCAAAGAAAAAAATGGGGTGGGCGAATTAGCTTGGACACCCTATATAGTCCTGAATAGGTAATAAGCAATCGAAGGATGGTCGAGAAATTTTGAGAAGTGTTTAAATTTATAAATAGGTCCAGAACAGCTGTTTGCTATCTAGACACCTTAAAATCGTTAAGAATGAAATATGTAAATGTGAGAGAAAATGATATAGTGATTTAATCGGACCAACTACAGCATTTATGTAATTGTATTTAGCTAAATACTAAATTAACTCGATTATCGTTCCTTATATTCCTCGTTATATATCTCTCTCGAAAGTAAAATGCTTTCAAATGGAGATGTAACATGCTTGAGGGTATTTGCAAAACAATTTCGTAATACAAATCTAAAACCTAATTGAGACACATATTAATTCTAAACATGTGCGAACATTATTTTATTTTAATTAAACAAAACACATACGAACAAACAAGAAAATATTATTGCGAGTTGTTTTATTTACAAGTACACATTTCCAAAATTATGTTGTGTAAAGTGGGTAAAATGAACAAAATATTTTGGTTAGCGCTATTAACTTTGTGGACCAGTTTAGCGTTTTTGGTTTTCATCACGTTCTTTTCAACAAAAACCAATGTTGTAGAAAAGGAGCCCCCCTGTAAAGAATTTTCCGAGTCTTTAGATTTTATTGGTTTTAACAATGTCAATGGATCCAAGAAGTGTTACGTCGTGCCGAACTTTGTCCATTTCGTCTACATCGATTCGCCTTTTTGTTTTGTAGACGTTGTTGTCCTCTTGGCCGCGATCAAGTACCAAATGCCGAGCAAAATATTCATCCATACCAATAACATGACAGCACTGAACAGCAGTAAGTATTGGAACACTGTAATGTCTTGGGAACGATTAAAGAAACACGTTAGATTCGTGAATATAAAAATTCCTGCATCGATAGAAAGAAATAATTCACAGAGAAAAATCAGTTTTCAAGTGGGCCTAAGAGCCCTTTATAAAATGGGAGGAGTTTATTTAGACAGGTACAGTATTGTCCTTAAGAATTTACACCATTTCAGACGTTTCGAAATGGCCATTGGATGGAGAAACAGTGGATCTATTTCCACGAATGTAATCATAGCTCATAGAAAAGCGAGGTTCCTTAGCAAATTGATAAATATACATACTGCATTATTTTACGACGAGACCTTAGACGGCCGTTGGATGTGGCGTGTCCATGAAACAGTTGTTGATTCTCACGAAGAAACTCACAGAATAACAAGACACTTTGACGAAGAATCATCGGGTTGGTTATTCCTACGTAACGACTGGAAATGGGAAAATCATTATGTAATAAACATATGGTTTACGCTTCGTCTGATCTTCTTAACAAAACCGAACAATTTAGAGCAAGCTGAATTCCCCCTTTGTTTCAATGAAACAAACGTTTACACAATTTTCAAAAATTCCAGCTTACTGAACGCTATTTCTGAGCTACTGCCGTTAAACTACAATTTTTTATCAACAAATGAAAATAACTGAATTTTAAAAAAATTTAAATTCTAATAACAATATTGAATCCGAAATAAATTTGATCTTTCAATTCTATTTTCTCCTAATTCGATTGTGTCTATATAAAATCGTAATTAAAATTCAAATAGTAATAAATTAGTTTTAACCGTACCATATAACGTAAGTAGGTTGTTCGGCTACTCGTGTTACAAACTTTGACCGTAGATTCTACAATCAAAATGGAACCAAAAAGTCCCAACTAACTATGGTCCGAATTTCAAGAGTTTCGGAGTTATTCCACTTTTTCTGATTTTTTCACGAAGATTTTACGAACATGATTCAAATAAACAATGATAACTCCAAAATTAAAAAATTGTGGACAAATCCGTTGATAACATTCAAAACTACGTTAAATTTCCAATAACATGTGATCAACACTAAACTTGTAAGCATTCGGGAAATAAGTGTTAGTACCGAGAACTTTGAAAAAAAAACTTTTTCTTTCCATAGTTGAAAAATTTACTACGGTGAATCTAAACTACTATTTCTAAACCTAGAGACCAGGAATTTTTTCAAAGATTAAGAAATTGATGGAGGAAAGGTAAAAACCGTGGTCCACGTAATGGTAAGGTGGAAAATTAAAAAAAAAACTGAAGGAAATTTTGAATAAATTGATTAACCTTTTTTTAAATTTTGGTTCGAAACCGATATAGTACAAGTGTTAATTTATTTACCAACACGACTGCAACTTTGATTAAAGAATTATTGTATTAATATTTTCCGGAATAAAAGAGTTTTAAGATTCAAAATGTTTTTAGTTATCATTGTGCTATTTTGTTAACACTATGGCTACTTTTTGTTTTGCGGGTTTAATGCGATGGCAGCACGTCGAAAATACATTGCGGAGGGTGGAGAGTATTTGGAATCAAAATTTAAAAAAGTTTAATAAATTCTTTCAAAATTTCCTTACGTTTTTTATTATTATTAATCTTTCCACCTTACCAATCCTTCAACCACGGTTTTTTACTTTCCTTCATCAATTTCTTCATCATTGAAAAAGAATTAAAAACGTAATTGCACCACCAAAAAGGTATTGAATGGAGTACGTTTTCTGAAATTTGTTGGCCTCTAGGTTTGGAAATAGTAGTTTAGAATCACCATAGTAAGTTTTTCAACTTAAAAAAAAATATATATAGTATATATATTTTTCAAAGTTCTCGCTACTAAAACGCTTATTTCACGAAGATTTACAAGTTTAGTTTTGATCACATCTTATTGGAAATTTAACGTAGTTTTCAATGGTATCAACAGATTTGTCCAAAACCTTTTACTTTTTGTTTATTTGAAGCAAGGTCGTGAAATTTTGAAAAATCAAAAAAAGTGAAATAACTCCAAAACTGTTAAGATTCAGACCATTGTTAATTGGGACTTTTGGTTCCTTTTGGACGTAGAAACTACAGTCAAAGTTTGTAACGAGTAGCCGAACACCCTGTATTTAGGTATTGTGACTATCTTGTAGAAGGAAAAATATTTTTTTTTAAAAGCGCAAACCAATGTCAAATCCAAAGTCAAGGTTTATGGGAATTTATAAGGTTAGGATATTTAACAAAAGTATCGTACGTGTCCGCATACCAAGGGAGACTTGATTACTTGGGATACAATTAAATTCATGGGCTCCGGGACGGCGCCGAATGACGTAAACGCTATCCCTTCATTCATGACTTGGCTAAATAGTGGGCGTTTGACGGAAATATCGATCGCCTTTTCATAAGAATATTTTGTCAACTCGGCAACCGGATTCACCTTAAGAAATGGATACAACGATGTATCCAAAACAATCAACCTTGTTGTTCAAAACGAAATATATTTCCAAGTACGTGTTGGTTCGAATTTCATACATTATTTACCATATGGACCAGTGATCTTTCTAGGAAATGATTCTTTCTTTTTGTGTTGTAAATTTTTCAAGATATGAAGTTTTATGTTTCCCCATCAACTACAAATCTGTCTAGAAAACTGTCCGTACCAAAAGTAAATATACTGTAGTTTATTTTAAGAGCCTTAAACTATTTACTATATTCTAACTTGTTTATTTAAAATATTAACCAAAGTTAAACAAATTAAAAAGAAATGTATTAACATTATTCCATCCCAAACCAACAAAATATATCAGTTCACATAACAGGGTTTTAAAACACATGAAGTTTTAATTTTAAATTGAGTTAAATTGTATGTATAAATGTGTGGTGATTAGTGACCGTTAATCGATAATTATTCAGAAATCGTGAGATGCGGTCTGGTATGATGTAGGTTTCAGAAAAACGTTTCGATCTTTATTGAGATCATCTTCAGGGCTCAAAGTTTCGTCTTATGTGTAATTGTGCCATTCTTGCGTGTCGTGTTGAGAGTGCAATTACACAGAAGACAAACACTTTGAGCCCTGAATATGATCTCAATAAAGATCGAAACGTTGGCACGATAAAGAAAATGTTTTTCTGAAACCTACATCACACCAGACCGCATCTCACGATTTCTGAATAATTGTATGTATAATTGTATGTACGGTTTTATAGATATTGAAAATCGATAAGTTTATAAGGATTTTCGTGGCCCCACCCTATTCCAGATATATCTTATGACTTCCCTAAGCTAGCATGTCTTAATAAATAAAATAATTATTTGCCGACAAAGCATCACTCTTCACATTATCTGGCCATCGTAAAAAAATTGAACACAAATGTAAAAAAATAAACAAGCATATTGATAAATAGAGGATTAGAATCAACCCAGCTAAGACGAAGGCTATCCTATTTATTAAATGTAGATCTTGCATAACCGCAAACATTAGAGGTTCCACTTTGTCTTGGTCACTCTCCAATATATATCTCAGAATAATGCTGGATAATAAGTTAAATTTCGCATCACACATTTTCTTCCCATAAAGTTTAACCAGACTACAAAAGGAAAGAAGAAATTAGGTGAAAATCGAATAAAATTATGTGGTACACAGATGACTCCAAATCCAGTGTCCAAATATGAGCAATCTAATTCATTAGGGAAGTACATATATTTCAAGCTGAAATACATGCTATTAATGTTTGAGCCATAAAAAATCTTAAAATAGTTTGTACTGAAAAAATAGATTCTCTTAAGATAAGACAGCATTAGCACGTCAAAATATCACATCCAAAATAATCAGAACCTGGGAAATCATAACTAACAACCTATAGTGCCAATACATAAAGAAATTTTGAGTAATGGACAAGCAGTCAAACTAGCCAGAGTAGAATCTGCAAGACAAACTGGATACAAAAAACAAATTGGGATAACAAGATTCCAACGTAGATTCATTCATCTCTGAATAAGTCTACAGGAAAAAGAAGAATTGGACGAACTGTAAATACATTGCCGCAGTTGACAGGTCCTGGCATCTGAGAAAACACCTTCGAAACATGGGTATATTAAACAATAACCCGATTTGTAAGTTAAACACTGAGAACGAATAAAATGCCACCCATATTATCTTCGATGCGAACGGACCACTGGATCATAAACTAAAGTACCGAAAGAGAAAAAAGAATTGCAGCAATAACCTCTCAATGACCTTCTGCTTCTTAAAAGAATGATCGACAAAATTGAACTGAACTAAGAACTAGAAAAATATAAGTCGGAAAGGGGCAGGCTTGGGAATACCAAAACCTTGCTTCCTACCATCCTCATCATCATTCTCATCATTATACTCTAATGAAACTAAAACAAACCTGAAACAACAGGAAAGAGAAAAAAATTTAAAATAAATATGCCAATTAAGAGTTAAAATCAACCAGATAAAAATCGATTAATTTTGCTTTAATTACACCGATAATTAGTTCATAAAACAATATTTCCAGTATAAAAAATGAAAATGTAATATAATAAGACCATTAAAATAAAAACATTTCTTCATAAATAGTTGTTATCAGAATGTAAACTACAAGGTAAATCTAATACCCGCAAAAACGCTTAGTCTTGTTGATTCTATTTCGTGTTAAAGCGCTTAAGTAGTTAAGTGCTTTCTGCGAGGTTTTTTGTTAAATATAGCAGTATTAATTTTAAGTTCTGAAAGTATTTCACAAGTGTTTTTCCTATGATTATAAAATTAAAATAAAATTTTCAAGGCAATGATATTATGCAGTAAAACCTGCAACTCTTAACTGTAGCTGTAAATTTTTATAATGGAAAACCAATATTCAAATAGGACTATGTTTCAATTCATATTACAGATTCTTTCTAGTACTCTACCTTGAAGTTAAAAGGTTAAACAAAATACAAATAAAATTTGAAATCAACCAGTCGAAAGTATAATGTTGAATTTAGTTTAAAACATAAAAAATTAATTAGAATAATATACAAACTAACATAGAACTTACATAAATAAAAATTAATGATGAAATATTTATCTTTTATTTAATATTTTACTCTATCCGATCCGATACTTATTTAAATTTTAAAAGAAATACAAACGTTGGGTTAATAATTCTGTACGTTATATTTTGTTTTGTACGGTCTTCTATTGTTTTAAATAGTATACTGAACGTTTTTGTACTTCACAATTCATTTTCATTACATTGCCAATGATAACAAGGGTTTAATTTTTACAAACAAGGGTTGTATTCTTTCAATTTCAAACTCGGAGTCAAAAGTAAAAGTAGAAGAATTGAAATACAGTTTAACGAATTGTTTTGTTGGTGAGCTTTAATTACATCAACATCAACACAGCTGACATAATAAACCTGTTTTGTTTCCGAGGTGATGTGACTACGGTCTTTTAATATCGGATTGCACGATATAATTTATACCGATTTTACTTAGGTATTCGACAAAGTTAACCCACAACACCCTGATAATTAAACTTAGAGAACTCGATTTGTAAAACTTATATTTTAGCTAGATTTATTTCCTATATCATGAGTCGTAGACAAGTAGTAAAGAGTAGAAATTACCTGCATTATGTAGTAACATTATCGAAAATGCACCAAATATAATCAATGAAAAACTTCAGTTTTTCAACTCTATTAAAAACTCAATTAATTATGCAAGGTTTTGGTTGAAATGAAAAAG